TGTGTCCATCTGTGTGTCTGTGTATTCCTCTGTTCGTGTGTCCATCTGTGTATTACCCTGTTCGTATGTCCATCTGTGTGTCTGTGTATTCCTGTGTTCGTGTGTCCATCTGTGTGTCTGTGTATTCCTGTGTTCGTGTGTCCATCTGTGTGTCTGTGTATTCCTCTGTTCGTGTGTCCATCTGTGTGTCTGTGTATTCCTCTGTTCGTGTGTCAATCAGTATGTCTGTGTATTCCTCTGTTCGTGTGTCTATCTGTGTGTCTGTTTATTCCTCTGTTCATGTGTCCATATGTGTGTCTGTGTATTCCTCTATTCGTGTGTTTATCTGTGTGTCTGTGCATTCCTCTATTCGTGTGTCCATCTGTGTTTCTGTGCATTCCTCGCTTCGTGTGTCCATCTGTGTGTCTGTGTGTTCCTCTGTTCGTGTGTCCATCTGTGTGTATGTGTATTCCTCTGTTCGTGTGTCCATCTGTGTATTACTCTGTTCGTATGTCCATCTGTGTGTCTGTGTATTCCTGTGTTCGTGTGTCCATCTGTGTGTCTGTGTATTCCTGTGTTCGTGTGTCCATCTGTGTGTCTGTGTATTCCTCTGTTCGTGTGTCCATCTCTGTGTCTGTGTATTCCTCTGTTCGTGTGTCAATCAGTATGTCTGTGTATTCCTCTGTTCGTGTGTCTATCTGTGTGTCTGTTTATTCTTCTGTTCATGTGTCCATATGTGTGTCTGTGTATTCCTCTGTTCGCGTGTCCATCTGTGTGTCTGTGCATTCCTCGCTACATGTGTCCATCTGTGTGTCTGTGCATTCCTCTGTCCGTGTGTCCATCTATGTGTCTGTGTATTCCTCGCTTCGTGTGTCCATCTGTGTGTCTGTGTACTCCTCCCTTCGTGTGTCCACCTGTGTGTCTGTGTATTCCTCCTCGTGTGTCCATCAGTGTCTCTGTGTATTCCTCTGTTCGTGTGTCAATTTGTGTGTATGTGTATTCCTCTGTTCGTGTGTCCATCTGTGTGTGTATTCCTCGCTTCGTGTGTCCATCTGTGTGTGTATTCCTCGCTTCGTGTGTCCATCTGTGTGTCTGTGTATTCCTCTGTTCGTGTGTCCATGTGTCTGTCTGTTTCCCTCTGTTCATGCGTCGTGCTATCTGTCTGTGTATTCCTCCTCGCTTCGTGTGTCCAGCTGTGTATTCCTCTGTTCGTGTGTCCATCTGTGTGTCTGTGTATTCCTCTGTTCGTGTGTCCATGTGTCTGTCTGTTTCCCTCTGTTCATGTGTCGTGCTATCTGTCTGTGTATTCCTCCTCGCTTCGTGTGTCCAGCTCTGTATTCCTCTGTTCATGTGTCCACCTGTGTATTCCTGTGTTCGTGCGCCCATCTGTGTGTCTGTGTATTCCTGTGTTCGTGTGTCCACCTGTGTATTCCTCTGTTCACGTGTCCACCTGTGTATTCCTCTGTTCGTGTGTTCATCTGTGTGTCTGTGTATTCCTCTGTTCGTGTGTTCATCTGTGTGTCTGTGTATTCCTGTGTTCGTGCGCCCATCTGTGTGTCTGTGCATTCCTCTGTTCATGTGTCCACCTGTGTATTCCTCTGTTCATGTGTCCACCTGTGTATTCCTATGTTCGTGTGTTCATCTGTGTGTCTGTGTATTCCTGTGTTCGTGCGCCCATCTGTGTGTCTGTGCATTCCTCTGTTCATGTGTCCACCTGTGTATTCCTCTGTTCATGTGTCCACCTGTGTATTCCTCTGTTCGTGTGTTCATCTGTGTGTCTGTGTATTCCTGTGTTCGTGCGCCCATCTGTGTGTCTGTGCATTCCTCTGTTCATGTGTCCACCTGTGCATTCCTCTGTTCATGTGTCCACCTGTGTATTCCTTTGTTCGTGTGTCCATATGTGTGTATTTCTCGCTTCGTGTGCCCATCTGTGTGTCTGTGTACTCCTCGCTTCATGTGTCCATCTGTGTGTCTGTGTACTCCTCGCTTCGTGTGTCCACCTGTGTGTCTGTGTTTTCCTCTGTTCGTGTGTCTATCTGTGTGTCTGTTTATTCCTCTGTTCGTGAGTCCATCTGTGTCTGTTTATTCCTCTTTTCGTGTGTCCATCTGTGTGTTCAGTGAATACCCACACAAGATCTATGAATAGTTATTATAAATTATAAACAACAAGTCTCGATTATCTACCGAACAATTTCCATTGGGCGCAAAAGGCAACATATGGTGAAAATTATATGAATGGATCACTGGAAATCAATGGTGAAACAAGGTGTTCGCGAAAAGGGTTAGCATGCCCTGCCCTGCCGGTAGCACCTGCCACGCACCCTTTTAGCATTTCAAAGTTTGTTTGTTGTCTGTCGCTGCTCAAGAGTACACTTTATACACGAGGACAGCCTGTAAACAATCACATCTTGACCACACAATCAAGTGATAGACCGGAATATCCAGTGACCTGACCGCGCATTTGCTGGTTTTATTGATACTTAAACTGAAATGTTACCTTGGGTGAGTGAGAGTGAAATTTAACGTCACATCGGCAATATTCCAGCCATATCGTGACGATGTTACTTTTAAATTACGTCTGCTGTTAAATGCATGTAAAGACAATTGTTTATGAAATACGTTCGTTTCGCAACACAGTGGGGGCAGTTTTTATGCCTCGGCTCAAATATTTCTTTTGTAGTTGACTCTGATGAAACTCGGGGACTTCAGTCCATCAGCATAAACATCGATCCATTGCAACTAAATATAAAACGGCAACGTCAAATTATATTGAAACACGTAGTTTTAGGTTTACAATAACAAAAGGCAATACAATGGGTAAAATAAGTGACAGCAACAATAAATAATATATGACAGTCATTCGAATTATTCTGGGGCAGTTTGGCCACTAGGTATTGTACGAGCGCTTCATACATTTGCTGCCACCAACACTCGTCAAATCCTACAACAATATCTACTGCCACATAACACTCTCTCCCTTCAAAAAGTAATCTTTGAAAACAGTGAAAACCTTCTTTAAAGTTGGACAAGGATTTCAAGGATAAAAGACTTTACATAACACGTTCTGTTAAACATGTTAAAAGAACATAAAATACATGCTACCATTATACATGCATAATTTAGCAAAACGGTTTTTGTGTACTGATCCAATCAACTGACTCTTGATAGTGCATCTGCCATTACATTCTCTGCCCTTGATATGGTTTGGAGATTAAACCGTTCCAAAGACAAACTCCACCTAAACAACCTCTGATTTTCGTTCTTCCTAGTACATTTTGTCTAAGTGGCCAACAAATGTTTATTTGTCGGATCTGGTAAAAAAGGCAATAGGTTCTACTTTTGCAATGATCGGTTGTACCTGACCTTGACCGAATGCATGCCCGAAGAACACTTTTGCAAGACTAACACTTAATGTTACCTGAGAAAGTATCTCAAAGAAGGCACGGACCCCCTTCAACTGATCGTCTCGATGTTAGTCTCTGTACCCTGTAGGCCTGACGTGGCGTCAATGGTGAGTAACCGGGGCATTTTTTAACCCAAATGGCATAACATGAGTGGGTTGGTGCGATACGGATGCTGTTTCACAGGCAATGCTACACTTAGGCCTGTCATGACTAAGTCGGCATGACCAGGTACAACTGGAAACATATGTACAAACATGGCAGTTAAAACTGTCTTTGTTGTGCTGGGGTAAAGAGAGCCAACTTCACATTAAGATTGTTTAACACCTCACAATTTGTAAGGATGGGGCTAGCCTTCTGATCTGTTTAAAATCAAACTTCACGCGCTCACTTCTAAAGACAAATTGACAAATGAGACAACTTGTCGTTTTCGGTGACCTGGAGTTTCATCGACCTTCTTACCTATTATCGCATAAGGACCTTGGTATCTAGCCATCAATGTTCAACTCGGGTAGGAAACAACACTAAAACACGCCATGACTAAAATGCCGTTCTTTGGAAATAGGCGACTGTGCTTGTCGTAAGAGGCGACCAACGGGATCGGGTGGTCAGACTTGGTTGATGCATGTCATCGATCCCAATTGCGTGGATCGATGCTCATGATATCAATCACTGAATTGTCTGGTCCAGACTCGATTATTTACAGACCGCTGTCATATAGCTGGAATATTGCGGCGTTGAACAACAGAAAAGACAAGAGTAACACCACATTGCCGAAACAGTATTGTGATCGCAGAAAATGTTTCTTTGTATCCGCGATCTCTAGGGACAGTATTACTCTACAGCATACTATCATAAAGTTAAAAATATATGACTGTGTGATCTTTGATGAGATATTTGAACTGACAAGTACAATTGTATAATTATGTACGGGAGAGATGTGCCTATATAACAGTAACATATATAAACAAATAATTCGCCGATACTTGGAGGAGTGAGCTGATGTAAATAAAAGCGACAAAACACTTTCCATATTCATTAGAAATCTCTGGGCAAAAGCAGGGATTGCACGATACCGACTAGGGCTGGGACGAGTCCAACTTTACTACCCGGGTACCCGATCCCCTATTACCCGGTCCTACCCGGTACCCACTGCAGGTCTCAAGATTTGGGAACAAAATGTCTGATTGGGAATTATTTTATCGCAGCCCTGTCAAAAACTAATTAGATTCTTGTATCAAACGATCAATACACTGAAGTTGACTGGAGTTTTATCTTTACTCAAACATATACATGTCAAAAGGAATGTATGCATCGTCAGAAAGAAATGCGAAGTGAGTGAGTTTTTGTCATCAAACAATATATCACGTGACTAACCACGGGTCCGGGTAGTCCTGTGGGTACCCGGGTCCTACTCAGGACCTACCCGACCCAAGTACCCGAGTTACCCGTTCCAGCTCTAATTCCGACTATATCATGAGCATGTGTTTATGAATCACTTTCACATGGCGATGATACCAGGAGTTAGCGAAAAGGTACCGAATCCGACAAGTGCTGCTTTAGTCCGAGACCGTGTTTTCAGCCACGTATGTGGTGCTATACTTCCGGAGGGCTTACTGGTCAAAGGGAGGTAATTCCACGTTAGACCGAACGGAAGATTGCCAGAGAACATGGACGAACAAGGTTGTCCAAGATGTAAAACAACAAAATATCGGAACCCCTCACTGAAATTACTAGTCAACGTTTGTGGACACTCATTGTGCGTGAATGTTTCATGTGTATCCTAATAGTCCTACTTCATTTTTTCATATAAAGAAAGGAGCATATAACATATAGATTGTCCTATTTTCGATCAGAACAAACGTGCCCTCATCATGCTATGATTTATATTTTATCATGAAGTACTGGTAGAGAAAATAAACCTGTACATGGTTATTGTCAAAAAAGACATATAAGCAAAACTAGTCATATGTTACGAAGAAAGTAAAAAGTATTCCGAAGACGTTACTTTGAATTGAAGAATTTGAACTCAAGAGAAAAAACAAACAACATTGATAAACAACACAGACTTATCAGGACAAAAAAAACATTTGGGATATCTCATTTGGGAAAAAATGCTGATGTTTTATTGTTTAGTGCAGTTTTATTATCCCTTTACCATCATTCATAAATGTTAAATTTTTTCTCAACCAAGAATTGTTTTACAAAAACGTTTACTTCAAAATAACATTTCTCCTACAAGCAAATGTACAACAGAATCAAGTATGACAGTATGTGTCCTCACTCTCCGAAGGTTCACACTCCAATGAACTCACACATCCCGTTGTGGTCCATTAAAAGATATATACACATGTTCATTTGGTATGTTTAGCCTCTTGTTTCACTGATGGCTTTTCCACTTGAACATTTTGCTTTATATAAGTTACAGAACTTTAGGTATTGTGATGTGTTTAAGCTTTCCAATGGGCATTTATTGTTTTGTTTTTTCAAAAGTCAGCCTTGTCTTGCGTTCCTAGTGAAGACGACTACATATACCCTATAATCACATGTTTATGCACAGAACCTCAAATTCCCCTATAAATCCTATGTACATCATTCTGTATGTTCTTGCCTCTTATCCTGTGTGGGGGCACTGGTGGCCCAGTCGTCTAAGGCGCTGCAATTCGCTGTGCAGAGTTGCGTCCCTTGGGCATGCCAGAAACCTATGATTGTGGGTTCGAATCCCGGTTTGCCCCAATTATGTTTCTAGGTTTGTCAGCACCATACCAGTGCTCGTGGGTTTCACCGAAGTGGTAAACGTCTAAGACCTGCATCACTTCGGGCTTTCCTCCCACATTAAGCTGACACGCCGCGATATATCTGGAATACTGTTAAAAGTGGCGTTAAACCCAACTCACTCACTCACTCACTTACCCTGTGTAGGGGTGGTCATAGCCTGTGTTAGGTAATCCATGCATGTTGACAGTCAAAAATAGTCAGTGTTGGAAGCATTTCGGGTTAAGGCAGTGATGGCGCTGCCTTTGTTTTGTGTGCATTTGCAAACATTCTTTCTTGTTACAGTATTCACAGGTGTCACGTCAGACTTGCTGTTGTTCTATAGTAACTACTCTAAATGTAGGCATTATGATATTCAGCCATACTGAATAGTCAAATGTAGGTGTTCTGTAGGGACGATACACCAACTGTGCGATCTGATACTTGCATGTGCACTTATCTGTGGTGCGTAAGCCATCTTTTTCATAGACGGGATAGCCAAATACCTGTCACACTAATGATTAACAGTTGGCAGTGTCATGAAATGGATGAAAATAATTATGTTTTCACTACTCATTTTCACTAGTAATTAGTGTTTGGTGTAACACTTATTCAAGAAAACACTTAAGGTAAGAATTGAAACTTTTTACAAAGTGTGTGACTGTGATCTATACTTGTATCGAGAAGTTAAAAATCACGATCCACCGATGCATTGGTGTATCGTCCGACCACTAGTTTTCTGACATGTACAATGTACAATTTCTACAATGTACTCTCAAATGTAGGTGTTATGGCATACAGCTACACTGTACTCTCAAATGTCGGTGTTATGGCATACAGCTACACTGTACTCTCAAATGTAGGTGTTCTGACATACAGCTACACTGTACTCTCAAATGTAGGTGTTATGGCATACAGCTACACTGTACTCTCAAATGTAGGTGTTCTGACATGCAGCTACACTGTACTCTCAAATGTAGGTGTTATGACATACGTGCAGTTTTCACTGTTGTAGATGTGAGAGCTGTGTGGACCTGCTGTTTTCACTGTTGTAGATGTGAGAGCTGTGTGGACCTGCAGTTTTCACTGTTGTAGATGAAAGAGCTGTGTGGACCTGCTGTTTTCACTGTTGTAGATGTGAGGGCTGTGTGGACCTCCTGTTTTCACTGTTGTAGATGAGAGAGCTGTGTGGACCTGCTGTTTTCACTGTTGTAGATGTGAGAGCTGTGTGGACCTGCTGTTTTCACTGTTGTAGATGTGAGAGCTGTGTGGACCTGCTGTTTTCACTGTTGTAGATGTGAGAGCTGCGTGGACCTGCTGTTTTCACTGTTGTAGATGTGAGAGCTGCGTGGACCTGCTGTTTTCACTGTTGTAGATGAGAGAGCTGTGTGGACCTGCTGTTTTCACTGTTGTAGATGAGAGAGCTGTGTGGACCTTCTGTTTTCACTGTTGTAGATGAGAGAGCTGTGTGGACCTTCTGTTTTCACTGTTGTAGATGTGAGAGCTGTGTGGACCTGCTGTTTTCACTGTTGTAGATGAGAGAGCTGTGTGGACCTGCTGTTTTCACTGTTGTAGATGAGAGAGCTGTGTGGACCTGCTGTTTTCACTGTTGTAGATGTGAGAGCTGCATGGACCTGCTGTTTTCACTGTTGTAGATGTGAGAGCTGTGTGGACCTGCTGTTTTCACTGTTGTAGATGTGAGAGCTGTGTGGACCTGCTGTTTTCACTGTTGTAGATGAGAGAGCTGTGTGGACCTTCTGTTTTCACTGTTGTAGATGTGAGAGCTGTGTGGACCTGCTGTTTTCACTGTTGTAGATGTGAGAGCTGTGTGGACCTGCTGTTGTCATTGTTGTAGATGTGAGAGCTGTGTGGACCTGCTGTTGTCACTGTTGTAGATGTGAGAGCTGTGTGGACCTTCTGTTTTCACTGTTGTAGATGTGAGAGCTGTGTGGACCTGCTGTTTTCACTGTTGTAGATGTGAGAGCTGTGTGGACCTGCTGTTGTCACTGTTGTAGATGTGAGAGCTGTGTGGACCTGCTGTTTTCACTGTTGTAGATGTGAGAGCTGTGTGGACCTGCTGTTTTCACTGTTGTAGATGTGAGAGCTGCGTGGACCTGCTGTTTTCACTGTTGTAGATGTGAGAGCTGTGTGGACCTGCTGTTTTCACTGTTGTAGATGTGAGAGCTGTGTGGACCTGCTGTTGTCACTGTTGTAGATGTGAGAGCTGTGTGGACCTGCTGTTTTCACTGTTGTAGATGTGAGAGCTGTGTTAACCTGCTATGTTCACTGTTGTAGATGTGAGAGCTGTGTGGACCTGCTGTTTATCAAGGGGTCGGGGACATGTCCAGAATGTGGCACAGCTCTCCGGAGAAACAACTTCCGACTACAGATCTTCGAGGACTCCAATGTGGAGAAAGAACTTGACATTAGAAAGAGAATACTTAGAGAGTAAGGAACCTTTGATTAAATCGTAAAAGAAGCTTGTTTACACTACCGATAAGCATGTAAACTACCTGACTGTACAAAGAATAGAAGGTTAATACATCGCAAATAATGATGCATCTTGATAAATGCAGGGTTTCAAATTTCCATATAAGGTTTCCAACAGCATGCTTAAAATAATAATGGCATGGTTGACATAAGTTGTGTGTCCCTACAGGACACACTTAGTAATCATATTCTTTTAATACCTAATCTGGTGGGAGGTTGTAAAAGACTCTCTTTATTTTTTTACCAAAAAAAAAGACTGCTTCCGTGGTCTAGTGGTAGAGCATCCGCCCGGAGAGTGGATGTTCGATCCCCGGCCGCGTCATACCAAAAGACGTTTAAAGATGGTACTTATTTACACTGCTTGGCGTTCGGCATAAAGGGCTTATTACAAGGACTGGTCAGCATGGAGTCGGTATGCTGTGCCTGAGTGGGGTATTCATGTTAAACTGCTGCATGGTATCTCAGTAGACTAGCACTATTAAATGGGCTAGTACAAGCAGCCTCACTCACACGTGCATTCACGTCGCTTTATAAGTGCAATAGTCTTAAAAGCCACGTTAAACCCTATTTTACCTCACCTCACCAAAGAAAAGGTAATGCTATCCCTCTGTAACTGGTGTGGTTTGTATAGATTTCTAGTGCCGTATACAAGGGGCAATGAAGGGGCTACTTATATTTTTGCAAATACTAATCAACACTTTTCTAGATTTCTAATGGCTGTCAGTGGCAACTGCTACAGTGGATGGACCTGTAATGCTGTGTTATGTTGGACCAGTGAATGATATTAATTTTAAGAAAAGAAGCTAAACATCTCAAATATCACTCACCCACTCTGACCAGACATGGCATCAGACTCACCCACTCTCTGGCTATACATGACATCAGACTCACCCACTCTCTCACTATACATGGCATCAGACTCACCCACTCTCTGGCTATACATGGCATCAGACTCACCCACTCTCTGGCTATACATGGCATCAGACTCACCCACTCTCTGACTATACATGGCATCAGACTCACCCACTCTCTGGCTATACATGGCATCAGACTCACCCACTCTCTGGCTATACATGGCATCAGACTCACCCACTCTCTGACTATACATGACATCAGACTCACCCACTCTCTGGCTATACATGGCATCAGACTCACCTACTCTCTGGCTACACATGGCATCAGACTCACCCACTCTCTGGCTATACGTGGCATAAGACTACCCCACTCTGGCTATACGTGGCATAAGACTACCCCACTCTGGCTATACGTGGCATCAGACTACCCAACTCTCTGACTATACATGGCATCAGACTCACCCACTCTCTGGCTACACATGGCATCAGACTACCACTCTGGCTATACATGGCATAAGACTACCCCACTCTGGCTATACATGACATCAGACTACCCAACTCTCTGACTATACATGGCATCAGACTCACCTACTCTCTGGCTATACATGGCATCAGACTCACCCACTCTCTGGCTATACATAGCATCAGACTCACCCACTCTCTGGCTATATATCACATCAGACTCACCCACTCTGACTTGTGTTCTAGTTTCAACAAGAAAGAAGAGGACTTCAGTTCGTTGAGGGATTTCAATGACTATCTGGAGATGATTGAGACAATAGGTAAACACTCACAACCAGTATACCGTAATGCCTGTTTGGTTTTAGTTAAAGAGAAAGAGAAATGTTCCAATATCATTTCATTTGTACAAAATATTCACTGTTCAATTAAGGATTAAATACTGAATTTACTTTTAGATATAAATATCTTTCGTGAAAATTTGCCTTTTGTGTACATATTTGCCTTTTTGTGTACATATTGACTTCAGTGTGTTAGTGGTGCTGAAATTATCCTGAAATAGAAAAGGTTTCTTTGATGTATGAAAGTGTAACTTTCCAATGGTCCTGTATATCCTAACCAGTTTGGCTGCCTGTATCATTCACCATAACTAACCTTTCCTTGCTCTGAGGAAGGCAGATGCATCCACATCTTGCCGTTGTTGGCTAGTGATCTATTGTGCAAGTCAGGGGAGAGCTACAGTTCCTTCTGACAAGTAACATATTGGTGTAATTTCCAACACTGCTGTGGAGAAAGTGTTGAGCCACATGCTGTTCTTCTGTCTACTCGTGGTTGACTTGATGTGTATGTTCTGTGTCACTTCCCTTGTTAGTGCTACTGTGGCCAATATCTTTGAAATCACATCTTTTACTCTGATATGAATTACAATATCTGACTGTATTAAGGTCTTAGGACACCTCCACAGAAGGTTGTATCCAATCTAAATACATGTGTAGGTTCTTTCAAAAACAATTTGGCTTCATTTCTTTACCCCCTCGAAATAAAGATACCCTGCACAGGACACAAGTATGATGATGATACTTCGATGATACTTTGATGATACTTTGATGATACTTCGATGATACTTCGATGATACTTCGATGATACTTCGATGATACTCCATTTTTGGTGTAGATAACATGCAGCTCAGACACGAACAGTGAAAGGGGGATCTAGTTATGGGTGCTGTTCTTCTGTCTGTCCATCCGTCACATTTCGTTACAGGGCAAAACTAAAAAACTATGAGAAATATCTTTACCAAACTTGGCACATACATAGGTCTATTGGTGAACTGGTGCCTTTTGGTAGTTTGGAAATTAAAAAAAAGAATATTTTTTTTAGTTTCCATGGCAACGACTTTGACTTAGACTGAAAGTGGGGATCAGCCCGTTGTCTGAATATGGCCTTGCTGGTGCATGTGTGTCAACTATGTTTTATTTTTCTTGTTTATAAAATATCAACTATTTCTACTTTTTATTTGAGAGCAGTTTTCAATCTGTCCAATGGTATTGATGTCGAGAGCACACGCAAGATGATAGAACAGTACAGGAAGGACAACAAAGATCAGATCAAGAAAAACCTTTCAAAAATGGTAAACAATTTTATTTTATTTTTATTCCTGTTTTCTAGCACTGATCTACAATGCAATTTTGTGTGTCCAAAGGCATGATGTCAGTGTACTGTGTTTACAGATGGGCAAACACCCCTCGCTTACTTACTCTCACTAACTGACACAATAATTGAAAGTATTTACCTGTGTTATAAACATACCTGGGGGGCACTGGTGGCCCAGTCGTCTAAGGCGCCGCGATTCGCTGTGCAGAGTTGCGTCCCTTAGGCACGCCAGAAACCTATGATTGTGGGTTCGAATCCCGGTTCACCCCGATTATGTTTCTAGGTTTGTCAGCACCATACCCGTGCTTGTGGGTTTCACCTAAGTGGTAAACGTCTGAGACCTGCATCACTTTGGGCTTTCCTCCCACATTAAGCTGACACACCGCGATATAACTGGAATATTGTTAAAAGCGGCGTTAAACCCAACTCACTCACTCACTCACTATAAACATACCTCACTACTTTGCCCCAGTGTAACATGCCAGAAGTGTGTAGACCTTGGATTATGTTGAAAAAGATTTAGCAACCCATTTCAACAATGGTGTCCACCATAGTTAGGTTCAGACCGTTTCAGCACTTCTCATATGCTCCAGGACCGCCTCTGTGGTCTAGTGTTAGTGCGTCCGCCCGGAGAGTGGAAGGTCTGGGGTTCAATTCCCGGCTGCATCATACCAAAAGACGTTAAAATATGGTACCTTTTGTTACCCTGTCTAGCACTTAGCGTTAAGGGGCCAAAACTGCGGCATGGTTTCTCAGTCGTCTAGAACTATAAAATCAGCATCTGTCCGGACATGTACAAGCAGCCACACACACACACATGCATGCACGTGCTGTGTAATTGCAATAATCTTGGATGTGACGTCAAACCCCATTTCACCTCACCACATATGCTCCAGTTCAGTTTTTTCATAAGAAAACATGAATTATTTATCATCACCACTTATCTTTGGTCCTTGTGTTTTATCAACTTGTGCAAATGTATTCTTTCAGTAATTCTTCATGATATTGTGAAAATTCATATATTTCTCCCAGAGTAAAGACCAGGAGTACCTCGATCTGCTCATTGAGCAGGAGAAACATGAGACCGCAGTTCGACTTCAGATGATGGAGGAAGAGGCCGCCAGGGATAAAGCCTTGAAGAAGAAGAACAAGGCTGCCCTGATTGATGAACTGGTGGGTAGTGTGCACATGATGCCCTTCCTGTAGGTGAAGGCCAGCTATGTTGTCTCCTGCCACGAAGGGGAAGGGGGATATAGGAATGGTTGCTGTCCGTCCGCCCCTCCGTCCATCCGTCACATTTCGTTTCCGGAGCCGAACTCAAAAACCATGAGAGATACCTTAACCATACTTGGCACAAAGATAGGTCTTGTGGTGAACTGGTGCCTTTTGATAGTTGGGGATTTCTGCCATGGCAACGACTTTGACTTAGACTGAAAGTGTTGGTAGTGCTCCTTTCCGGAACAGAACTTGAAAACTGTACAATATTTCTTCACAAAACTTGGCAAATAGACAGGTCTAGTGGTAATCTGGTGCCTTTTGATAGTTTGCAATTTTTGAAAGATTTATTTTTCGAGTTTCCATAGTCACGACTTTTACTGATATTGAAAATGGCAGTAGTCGTCTGGAGGGCTAATGCCTTGCACACAACCAGACATGTCATATTGACGGGATATGAGTATTTCAAGCTTGTTTAAATCATCCTGTATCTCAACATGGATTCTGCTACAGTGCAGTGCAGTGTTTGGCTGTTACAGATGTTTTCGGAACTGCCTGCCACGGACATTGTGGCCACCCACAGAGAATGTGTGACCCAACTTGAGGCTGCCACCCGTGCAACTGCTGCCACCACCTTCTCTACCGGGATAAAGATAGTCAGTATTCAGTTTAGCATTGCCTATTTATGTAAGGCTTCATGGTAAAAGTCTAAGATGGTTTTTTCCTGTGTTTCAGTCTTTGTAACCATCATGTAAAAAGACTTAACACTTTCACCATACATTTTACTATTCATTATATGAGTCCAGTTTGTGGTTAGAAACTGCTGAAAATTCATCGTTGATGATTTCCTTGATGACAGCAATTTTCAATTTATATGAATCACAGATAATATCTGAATGTTAATTGACACCCCTGTGGGGATTCCAGGGCAAAATATGTTCCTCGTACCCTCTGCTTGTTGTGAGAAAATAAGGATCAGGGTGCCGTTGTACAAAGCAATCTTAGTGTTAAGGTAGGGTAACTCCCATACCTTAACATAGACTTAGGGACAGTCGGGTAGCCTAGTGGTTAAAGGTAAAGCTCATCACGCCGAATGCCCGGGTTTGATTCCCGACGTGGGTACAATGTGTGAAGCCCATTTCTGGTGTCCCCCGCCATGATATTGCTGGAATATTGCTCAAAACAGCGTAAAACCATATTCACTCACTGACATAGACTTAGGACATTCGTAGTGCTAAGGTTGTTTTGTGCAACGACACCCAGGTGGTTAAAGTGTGTGACCTGGCTGATAATGTGTCCCCTGGCCCCAAATACTCACACAGTCAATCACTGGATTACCCGGCCGACACTCAGTTATATATGGGCTGCCATGATATAGCTTGCATATTGCTTATGGTTATGTAAATCAACATTCACTTGCTGATCTTTTTCAATTGCAATCTCATTAAAATCGGATCTTAGTTCTCGCTATCATTAAACAAAGAGGGCATCCCATTAGGGGGCATGTCAGAAAGACTTTTCATCCAACCAATCAGAGCGTCGCTTACCAGATCATGAATATGACAGTCGGAATGTGATTTCTGAAAGATTAAACACGGTTATCCGAGCGACAGTTACAGGCTTTATGACTGAATCCATACAATCTAGGCCATCTATTAGCCACTCCAGAATGTTTGTTTGTTCTGTTTTCAAATTTTTAATCGAGAATTTGTCAAAATATGTTTCAAAGCGTAGTCACCAGTTTGAAACTAGCGCCATGAAGCAGGAAAAAGCTGCCTTCCGATTGGGTAATGCGACTTCTTGTCAGTCATTCCATTGGTCGGTCAAAATTCACGAAAGGTTGTTTAGCGATAGCAAGAATTAAGATCTGATTTTAATGAGATTGTTCCAATTGTAATATTGCTGTGAACTAACCTTGCAGGGTCATCACGACACCGTTCTGCCACTTCCTGGTTGTGAGGACAATGACGATGCATATATGTACCTGCCCTATAACTTGAACAACAGCGGCCCCAGACTTGTTGCCCAGGAAGATATACACAACCTAGGGTAAGCATCACTTGAATTAGATACATGTAATTATTTATAATCCTTCTAAGACCCTTGCGACCGCCTCCGTGGTCCAGTGGTAGAGTGACCACCCAGAGAGCGTTAAGTCCGGGGTTGATTCCTGGCTGCGTCATACCAGAAGACGTTAAAAGATGGTACTTGTTGTTACCCTGTGTGGCGCTCAGCATTAAGGGGCTAAAACAACGTCTGGTCGGCTCGTAGTCAGCATACTGTGTCTGAGTGGGATATTCATGTTAAAGTGCGGCGCATGGTATCTCAGTGAGCTAGCACTATAAATCAGTATCAGTCCGGACTAGTGCGCACGCACGCACTGTGTGCATGCACGTTGCTATATAAGTGCAATAATCTTAGACCGTTGCAAATTCTTACTTAGGACACTTGTTCCTGAATCCAATTCAATTTGAGTGTCAGTTATGAATGCCTCACAACAAAAATAATGAATACCGTATTCAACGTAATAAGCGCCCAGAGCACTCTCAAAATTAGAAATAGGAATTATTAGAATATTATTTTGGTGGAAAAAAGAGAGTTGAAAGATAAATTTCATGGTTTATGCTGACACACTGAAATGTTTATATGCGACAGATACATATTTCCAGAATTTAATTGCCCATAATTAAGAATGCATATAACACATGAGTGTGTATTATATGCGAATAATTAAGTCTTGTGTACATTGATCAACCAGAAGGAGTGCTAATTGGGATTGTTCAGTAGCCAATATATTAGCAAAGCCCCAAGTGATGCAGGTCTCAGACGTTTACCGCTTCAGTGACATCCACGAGCACGGGTACGGTGCTGACAAACCTAGAAACATAATCGGGGTAAACTGGGATCATAGACTACTGGCGTGCCCAAGGGACGCAACTCAGCACAGCGAATCACGGCACCTTAGATGACTGGGCCACTGAACAGTAGAAGTTGTAAACACTCGTAGTGTAATAAGACAAGTGTCCTTGTTGCTGCCATGTTAGATGCTCGTGTAGACAGCAGTGAAATATCGAAGTAACAAAATCCACTTAATCTTCTCATTTTGCTTCTATTTTCTAGTGTCTACAGTTGTGATAATTCACAAACACAAATACACAAATTTGGATTGAGAAACACAGGAAACAGGAGAAGGTGCTAAATGTGCTTGATAGAGGGCTTCTGATACAATCTGATAGTGATAACAATATTTTATGAGTGTTTCATTTGTTACCACAAACAACTTACAGGACACCATGGAAACCGGTTATCAAGAGTGATAATTTTTGTCACCGTAATATGTTTGAAGCTTCAAATTAATAATGTACTATTATTTTCAAAATATAAAAAAAAATATTAAGACTTTAGTTTAGTCCACCACTTGTTTTCAGGAAGCTTATGACCAAGAGAATGGAAGCATGGAAATGTACAGGGTTAGGAGGTAGGTATGTTGTAGAAGTACCTGTAGTGTTGGTAACGGTACCTCTACAAAATACCTACTACCTGTACATGATTTTTAAGACCCGTGAAGATCTGGGGTAGAATAGGTCTTCAGCAACCCATCCTTGTCGTAAGAGGCGACTAACGGGATCAGCTCCTCAGGCTCACTGGTTGGTGCATGTCATTGTATCCCAATTGCGTGGATCGATACTCATGATTCTGGTCCACACTCGATTATATACAGACCGCCGTCATATAGCTGGAATATTGCTGAGTGCGGCATTAAGCAACAAACAAAACAAACAAACAAACATGATCTTTAAGTGGCATTCTAGAAGATGTACTGTTAATGCAAACAGAGTTGACATGTGGATTTTAGCTTCTTTTTTTTTCTAAGCAACATTTCAGCTCAGGTGCTCATACACATATCTTACAACTGAAGAACAAATGGTTAGGGCTTGGTTACATAGCAACACTTACATTTTTATGGATATTATCAAATAGAACAAATATGGAACCCGTGAAGATCCGGGGTAGAATAGGTCTTCAGCAACCCATGCTTGTCTTCCCCGTGAAGACGTAAGTGCGACTTTGCTTGTCGTAAGAGGCGACTAACGGAATCGGGGTGGTCAGGCTCGCTGACTTGGTTGCTGCATGTCATAGTATCCCAATTGCGTGGATCGATGCTTATGATGTCAATCACTGGATTGTCTGGTCCAGACTTGATTATTTACAGGCCGCTGTCATATAGCTGGACTATTGCTGAGTGTGGCGTTAAACAAAAAACAAACAAACAACAAATAATGTCAGGGAATAAAGCCTTGGAACAACAGTTTGTATTAGTTTGTAGTTCTAGGTCGTTGTGACCCCTGATCACATATGATTCTAGTTGATAAGGTGAGGGTAGGCTGATTGGTTGAAGAAACCCTGGTCTATGTTGATGGCCAGTTGGAATGTTTTATGTGGATGGCCTCTGTTAGATTTCTCATGTTGAGTCCAGGAATATTCCAGCTGTATGACGGCAGACAGTGATTAATGTTGTGAACATCAATCTGGGTCTGATGACATGCAATCTCATTAAAATCAGATCTTAGTTCTCACTACCGCTAAACAAAGATCTGAGGACATCCCATTACGGTTCACGTCAGGCCAACCTTGCGCGAACTTTGACTGACCAATGGAATGATCAATCAGAAGGCAGCTTTCTCGTGCTTTACGGCACTAATTTCAAATTGGCGACTACGCTTCGCAACATATTTTGACAAATTCTCGATTACAAATTTGAAACCTAAACAAAAGGACATTCTGGAATGGCTAAAAGATGGTCTAGATTGTATGGATTCAGTCGTTAAACCCGTAACTATCGTTCGGAATACCCCGTGTTAAAGTTTTCGAGGTTGTATGATAAGAAATCACATTCCGAATGTCACTTTCATGATCTGGTAAGCGACGCTCTGATTGGTTGGATGAAAGGTCGTTCTGACGTGAACCCTAATGTGATGTCTTCAGATCTTTGTTTAGCGGTAGCGAGAACTAAGGTCTGATTTTAATGAAATTGGATGACATGGATCAACCAAGTCACTGAGTCTGACCGTCCGATCCTTTTGGTTGTCTCTTGTGACCAGCATAGGTTGCTGGGGACCTAACCCAAAATCCCCACAAGAAGAATGTGATCTGAGATGGCAGGTTTTGTGTCTTGTTCATTTGTTGATCTGTGGTGTTGGTGGATGGTGAGAGGTGAGTGGGGTTACTGTTTTTTCTGATGTATGTACATGTAACGTTGCTTGTCTTGCAGGTACCTCTCTCATGTCCGCCCAGCAACAGACATGGAACGTGGTGGAGGTTTTGAAGCCAGGATAGCCTGCCAGCGAGCTCTCCATGATGCTCTTAGCGGACTTTTCTACTTCCCGGAAACTGACAGCAGTTCTGGGCTACAACCTATGGTCACATGACTTATCTAGCAGGCAGCTCTCTGAACAGTGGCAAGCTGTCAACAGATTCGAGATTAGTCTGTTTTGAGGTGGCCGATACACTTCCGCTCTGCCTTGTCCAGAAGTATTTGCTGGTCTTCATATCCAAACAATAGTGGAAAGGTGCGCAGTGTCCAGCAAGTATATATCATTTGGTGCACAGACATTCTCCACCTCGACAGCTCTGACAAGCCTCTGATGAAGGACTTGTGATATAGTGTTTCAGGGATGTGTGTAAGGCAAGGATGTGTGTGTGTATGTCTCTGTTTAAGATGGAATGAAAATTGACACTTGGTGAACACGCGTCCACACTGCATCAATAAAATAGCCATGTCCGTAGGGTTGAAACCAATCCTATTAAAATAACCCTGTCTATAGGGTTAAAACTGGTTCTCACTGCATCATCAAAATACACTATAATGCCCTATAATGCATTACATAATGTCCTTATCTGCAGGGTATGTTGTGGTCCTGCAGAACATGATGTCCTTATGTGCAGGGTATGTTGTGGTCCTGCAGGACATGATGTCCTTGTGGACAGGGTATGTTGTGCTCCTGCAGTACATGATGTCCTTGTGGACAGGGTATGTTGTGCTCCTGCAGTACATAATGTCCTTGTGGACAGGGTATGTTGTGCTCCTGCAGTACATAATGTCCTTGTGGACAGGGTATGTTGTGGTCCTGCAGGACATGATGTCCTTGTGGACAGGGTATGTTGTGGTCCTGCAGGACATGATGTCCTTATGTGCAGCGTATGTTGTGGTCATGCGTTACATAATGTCCTTGTGTGCAGGGTAAATTGTGCTCCTGCAGAACATGATGTCCCTGTGTGCAGGGTAAATTGTGCTCCTGCAGAACATGATGTCCTCATGAACAGGGTATGTTGTGGTCCTGCAGAACATGATGTCCTTATGTGCTGGGTATGTTGTGGTCCTGCAGAACATAATGTCCTTATGTGCAGGGTAAGTTGTGGTCCTGCAGAACATAATGTCCTTGTGGGCAGGGTATGTTGTGTTCCTGCAGAACATGATGTCCATGTGTGCAGGTACATTGTGCTCCTGCAGAACATGATGTCCTCATGAGCAGGGTATGTTGTGGTCCTGCAGAACATGATGTCCTTATGTGCAGGGTATGTTGTGGTCCTGCAGAACATGATGTCCTTATGTGCAGGGTAAGTTGTGGTCCTGCAGAACATAATGACCTTGTGGGCAGGGTATGTTGTGCCCCTGCAGTACATAATGTCCTTGTGGACAGGGTATGTTGTGCTCCTGCAGGACATGATGTCCTTGTGGACAGGGTATGTTGTGCTCCTGCAGGACATGATGTCCTTGTGGACAGGGTATGTTGTGGTCCTGCAGGACATGATGTCCTTGTGGACAGGGTATGTTGTGCTCCTGCAGGACATGATGTCCTTGTGGACAGGGTATGTTGTGGTCCTGCAGGACATGATGTCCTTGTGGACAGGGTATGTTGTGGTCCTGCAGTACATGATGTCCTTATGTGCAGCGTATGTTGTGGTCATGCGTTACATAATGTCCTTGTGTGCAGGGTAAATTGTGCTCCTGCAGAACATGATGTCCGTGTGTGCAGGGTAAATTGTGCTCCTGCAGAACATGATGTCCTTATGTGCAGGATAAGTTGTGGTCCTGCAGAACATAATGTCCTTGTGGACAGGGTATGTTGTGGTCCTGCAGTACATGATGTCCTTATGTGCAGCGTATGTTGTGGTCATGCATTACATAATGTCCTTGTGTGCAGGGTAAATTGTGCTCCTGCAGAACATGATGTCCTTGTGTGCAGGGTAAATTGTGCTCCTGCAGAACATGATGTCCTTATGTGCAGGATAAGTTGTGGTCCTGCAGAACATAATGTCCTTGTGGGCAGGGTATGTTGTGTTCCTGCAGAACATGATGTCCATGTGTGCAGGTAAATTTTTTATGATACACTATTACATTTTGTACAACCACGAACTTGTAATTTTGTTTTCTTATTCTTATTACAAAGAAGCCACTATTTACAGGTAATAACTTATATTATATTGTAATAGCAATGTTTCTGTATAGATCTTTATACCATTGTCAAGCAAGACTGAATGTGTTTCATTTGTCCTACCTCTATTACATCACAGCCGTAATTCCTGTCTTTGCCTGACCTCACACCATAAACTCTCAACAACATGATGCCTATTCCCCTTGATTATGATAGAGTTTGCAAGAAATTCAACATTGAAAAACAGACTGACACGCAAAAGAAAACGCTCAAAACCCTTTTTGTGGAAATGATGTCTTCATGACCTCATGTCCTTATATTACACGTTTCCTTTGGCCTTATCTTGACATTTGATTGGTTGGTAAAATGTAAATGAAAATCAAGGTTACTTATCAGTATCCAATATGTACTTTTGAATTTGATCACTTTGTGCCGAAAAAAAATACATTCTTTTGTGCTTCATGTGACATCGATTCTTGCCTCACATACACATGAAAAATCTTTCCTTAGGGGCGACATCTAACGATATAGAGACAAACCCATACCAATAACTCTTGAAGAAGTACAGGAAAAATTACTTGCGGAATTCTGAAATACATAATGCCAAATGACATTTAAGTACACATATTTCAGAAGTAAAGAACAACATTTACACTATCAATTCTAAACGTGGAGAACTGGAAGACTCTGTTATAGAACTATATACATAGTGATCGAATCACAATTAAACACAACCATGATAATATGTATGAGGACATTGATGCACTTTCGGGCAATGCTGATACTGTTTGATCAGATGTCAAAATTTGATACAAAACTATATAGACTTGAGTCGAATAGCGGACATATTATTATTTTCCCGGAAGGTGCAGGCAAAGAATAATCAATGGTATGTTGGTTGGTTGGTTGTATGTGTTTAACGCCGCACGCTGCAATATCCCAGCTATATGACGGCGGTCTGTAAATAATCGAGTCTGGACCAGACAATCCAGTGATTGACATCATGAGCGTCGATCCACGCAATTGCGATACGATGACATGCATCAATCAAGTCAGCGTCCCTGACCACCCGATCCCGTTTGTCGCCTCTTACGACAAGCATAGGCGCCTTTTACGGCAAGCATGGGCTGCTGAAGACCTATTCTACCCTGGATCTTCTCGGGTCCAATGGTATGTGAAGATGCCGTGTTATCTGTCATCAGTTAACATGCTAAATTCGAAACGTGGCAACCATTGGACACAATAGGTGGACACCGGCTTAGCGTTAATTGTGAAAATGCAAATCGACTTCGTCCAATGATTGAAAAGCCACGTGTCTCACGGCAAAGTACAAACCTTGAAAGCGGGATCCACATTCAAGGAAGGTGGACTTGGAATTTCCAGTGACCTAACGTCACGTCAACATCAACAGCTGCAGGCACTTTGAGGAACCAACACTTTTGGATTTTTCAAAAGAGGGACGGTTTGTGCAAAAACTTCTCACAATAGAAACAACACCAAAATTGATTATGTTTAACTCTGCAGACACGACACGAGAAAGCCTATCTTTGCCTAGAAGAAAAAAACAGTGTCAAATGCTTCTGTAAGCTTTGGTATTGGATGAGGCCCGACGGTCAGGTGGTATTTGTGCAAGTAAATTAAATAAGATGTTTATAATCTCCTGTGCCTGAGACCGCCTCCGAGGTCTAGTGGTAGAGCGTCTACCCGGAGCGGAAGGTCGGGGTTCGATTCCCGGTCGCGTCATACCAAAAGACGTAAAAGGATGGCAGTTGTTACCCTGCCTGGAGCTCGCCATTAAGGAGTTAAAACAAGGACTGGTCGGCTTGGAGTCCGTATACTATGTCTGAATAGGGTATTCATGTACCTGCGGTATGGTATCTCACTATTAAATCGGGTTTATTCCGGACTAGTACTAGCAGCCACAAACACACGCACGTGCATGCATGTCGCTATGTAAGTGCAATCATCTTGGACGGCAACGTTAAACCCCATTTCACATCATTTTGCAAATCCGAGCAGAAGGTCTAATTCATATACATGAAGAAACAGATCAACAAGAAGAGGAGCGCACATGATGCTCATGGGGACGCCTACTCCTAGCCTAAATGTCTTGCCCCCAATCTTTTATTTTCCCATGGTTTTTGTTTTATTTGGTTATGTCACTCAATTGGAAATGGGTTTCTTAAAGAATTGAGAAAACGGTCTATAAATATGTTCTACCAAGAATGACATTCCACTTGAGAGGATAGTTCACATTATGAATATTACAAAACTTTCATAACTTTTTAAAAATTTTTTATCAGAACTCACTACGGAAAACTTAAGAAAACATATAATTAAATATCGACTTGGTTTACTAGACCTATTTGTAAATGAAGGATGAAAAATGTCCATTGAAAAATCGAAACGAATTTGTCCATTATGCAATATAGAAATAGAAAATGAATTCATTTTGTGTTTATCCATTTTACAGTAATCTTCAAAAGAAATATATCAAAGATTATTTAGTATCAATGTCACCGATCAACGTTCTTTTGTATTTATTCTGACGACAAAGAATTGATATATAATATCTTTATTTATACGTTATACACGCCTCAACCAAAAGGAATGAACTAATTAAACAACATGTATGCCCCTATGTGTAACATTTATGATAATATTGGACTCTCTCTTGTGTATGGGCCGGAAAACTTTTGTACAATAAATTTCTTATGACTTTGACTAAGATAGCTCGGCGTGGCCAAAAAGGATGGTACACCTGGATTTTCCCACTCCTCATGGTACCACCAATAAGACTTCCTGAATGTAGGGCTCTATTGCACAAAGCAAGATCAGACGTATTCCATGGCAACCTCCATTGCCTCCACCTACACGCTTGGTAGTTATCACGTCCAAGAAACAGGCATCGATATTCTCTGCCTCTGCAGCAGTGGCACGATCATCGAGGCCATCCTCATCTGCCATGTATGACACAAGATGGAAAATGTTCTGGCAGTGGAGAATAGCAGGGTCACTGGAATACGTGGAGATAGCCTTTCCAATGGCTGCCTAAAATATTACCTATTACTGCATGGGATATATTTTCACATTCACACCCTGTACGGAAATAACTAGTTAGTTATTTTACTGCACTGTTTTGAATATACGACAGCACACATTTAGGTGGGCAGTTTTCACTTTACAGCTCCGCTTATTACATCCTCCTTTAAAACACCAGGTTAGTCTTGAATTCAGCTTCTGGGAAAAGTAATAAAGTTGCTTTACCCCAGCGTGTAGTCTAATAAAGTACAGTAAATTACGTTTATAACGAACGCGCTTATCACAAACTGACGGATATAACGTACTGTTTTTGTTGTCTCATTCAGCTAAATAGAATCCCGTTCATCCCTCTATGTTACTACAGTAAACTACGGTTATAACGAACACAAAGGGTCACTTTGTTCGTTATGACCGTATTTCGTTATAAGCATGTATACAGCATATACACAGCACCGTCAGTATGTAACTTCATACCGAAGGTTCTCTCAACTAAGGCCTAAGTTCGAAATCCCGTCCGCTTTCGGAGCAGAACCCCCAAACCGTTGAATATTTCTTTTTGAAACTTGCTTTACAGATCAGTTGAATGGAGAAACGGTGCTTTTTGATAATTTTGGATATTTTTTATTTTATACGTTTTAGGTTTTCATGACGACAATTAAGAATTAAGTGTGTGTGTGTGTGTGTGTGTGTGTGTGTGTGTGTCAAAAGTGAGGTAGAAATGGTCAAAACTCCAATTCCAAATCGCATATATATAGAAATATATGTATATATATATATGAAAAGTTAGGTAGAAATAGTCAAAACTCCAATTCCAAATCTCATATATATGTGTGTGTGTGTGTGTGTGTGTGTGCGTACGTGCGTGCGTGCGTGCGTGCGTGCGTGCGTGCGTGTGTGTGTGTGTGTGTGTCAAAAGTTAGGTAGAAATAGTCAAAACTCCAATTCCAAATCTCATATATATATGTGTGTGTGTGTGTGTGTGTGTGTGTGTGTGTGTGTGTGTGTGTGTGTGTGTGTGTGTGTGTGTGTGTCAAAAGTGAGGTAGAAATAGTCAAAACTCCAATTCCAAATCTCATATATATATGTGTGTGTGTGTGTGTGTGTGTGTGTGTGTGTGTGTGTGTGTGTGTGTGTGTGTGTGTGTCAAAAGTTAGGTAGAAATAGTCAAAACTCCAATTCCAAATCTCATGTGTGTGTGTGTGTGTGTGTGTGTGTGTGTGTGTGTGTGTGTGTGTGTGTGTGTGTGTGTGTGTGTGTGTGTGTGTGTGTGTGTGTGTGTGTGTGTGTGTGTGTGTGTGTGTGTGTGTGTGTGTGTAAAAAGTGAGGTACAAATTCCAAATCGCACGAGATCGGGATGGATATGTCGTCTCCTGATGATGCTTGTATTTTGTTATATTTTTGATGATGCTTGTATCTGTGTTTGGATAGGTCAGGTGAGCTTAAGGAAAGGTAACATTTCGTGCTTTTCAATTTGCCGTGGAAAAGAAAACATGTCTAACGATTCATCAAGTTTATTAAGTTCAACAACATACAAGTAATATACTTAGTGTGCACGAACAAGCAACGTTTCTTCGTCCGGTATGTGACGATGTAATGACAATAGAGACACCGACATCAGTATCAGAACACGGTATTACATCAACAGTGCATCTTCCAGACATTCAACACACAGGAAACAAACAATAACGTCGGATAAGAGTTTTTCATGTTGTGTTCGCCTGGTGCCCCTGTACAGAACAACCTTAGTGCCACGACTGTCGTCAGTCCATGTTAAGGACTGGGAGTTGCGATCACCGTTACGCTGAGATCACTTTGAACAACGGCACCTGATCTGCGAAATGAACACCCTTACGTTTGATTAAAGTGCCACCCACATACATCGAACACCACGTTCAAAACATTAAAACGATCAATTGAAAGCTGTTGTATAGTAGAGATTTGAAAATCACTTGGGCTTGGAAGTCCCACAGAGTAAGTATAAAACATGGTCGCTCTTTCGTCATTTGATTAACAGTCTGCCAACAAGATGTCAAGCTCGCATTTGTGAACATCGTAGAGATACTCTGTATTGGAGAGTCGAGATTAATGAAAGAAATTATAAGAGTAACATGCTTCGGACGCTCATTGTCTCAAGGTGTAGTTATAAACAATGTGCGATTAAGCTTGTAGTTCAAGAGGGGGTCCTTGGACACTGGATTCGTAATGCGAGGGAGAACTAGTAGAGAAGATGCATATGATTCATGTTACATGTACACGGTCTGTGTCATCAGGTTATGTGTACACGATCTGTGTCATCGTGTTATGTGTACACGGTCTGTGTCATCGTGTTATGTGTACACGGTCTGTGTCATCAGGTTATGTGTACATGGTCTGTGTCGTCGTGTTACATGTACACGGTCTGTGTCATCAGGTTATGTGTACACGGTCTGTGTCATCATGTTATGTGTACACGGACTGTGTCATCAGGTTATGTGTACACGGACTGTGTCATCAGGTTATGTGTACACGGACTGTGTCATCAGGTTATGTGTACACGGACTGTGTCATCAGGTTATGTGTACATGGTCTGTGTCATCATGTTACTTGTACACGGTCTGTGTCATCAGGTTACATGTACATGGTCTGTGTCATCATGTTATGTGTACACGGTCTGTGTCATCATGTTACTTGTACACGGTCTGTGTCATCATGTTACTTGTACACGGTCTGTGTCATCAGGTTACATGTACATGGTCTGTGTTGTCATGTTATGTGTACATGGTCTGTGTCATCATGTTATGTGTACACGGTCTGTGTTGTCGTGTTACATGTACACGGTCTGTGTCATCAGGTTATGTGTACACGGTCTGTGTTGTCGTGTTACATGTACACGGTCTGTGTCATCATGTTATGTGTACACGGTCTGTTTTATCATGTTACATGTACACGGTCTGTGTCATCAGGTTATGTGTACACGGTCTGTGTCGTCAGGTTATGTGTACACGGTCTGTGTCATCATGTTATGTGTACACGGTCTGTGTCATCAGGTTATGTGTACACGGTCTGTGTCATCATGTTATGTGTACATGGTCAGTGTCATCATGTTATGTGTATACGGTCTGTGTCATCAGGTTATGTGTACATGGTCTGTGTCGTCGTGTTATGTGTACACGGTCTCTGTCGTCGTGTTACATGTACATGGTCAGTGTCATCATGTTATGTGTACACGGACTGTGTCATCGTGTTACATCTACACGGATAATGTCATCGTGTTACATCTACACGTCTATGTCATCTTGTTACATGTACACGTCTGTGTCATCCATGTTACATCTTGTAGTTTTAAATATTGAATACTGCTGAGTGCGGCGTTAAACAACAAACCAAACCAAACCCAAAACCCCATCCCCGCCTTCATAGACGGACGCTCAAATGGTCGGCCTTCTCTATATAAATCCTGTGCATATCTTTGTCACAGGTGTTAAGTGTGTGACATCTGGTTGCAGATCGCGTCATTTACCTGACACATCTATATGATGATTATTGGCTACCGTTTTTGAATATCAGTACATTCTTTACAATCATCAAGTGAGTCACGTTAAGAGTTTAGAAGAACTAGCTGTACTGAGTTGAAGTTGAATTATTATGATATCATTTAAAACATCTGCATATGCTACTCATACAAACAGAGGCAAGTATGTTTTACATTAAAGGAATGGGTACACAACGGCGATGGAAACATATATTAAATCATATCACAGATATTCAAGTGTACAACAACCAGTGTAGGATCACAGGGCCCGGCGTTCACTACATTTTCAATACTGAGATTCACTCACATATGATGTTTATAACAACGGGGAATTCCATTGCTGAAAACACCAGATAATCAATTCACTTGTTTGAAAAAGCACGCTATTTTCAAAAGAAGAGAAACCTCTGTCCACATTGTAGTCAGGTTTAATGTTTATATTCCACACACAATGTAGAATCGTCTCTCTTACTTTGTGTATTATCAAGTGCTGCTGTAGGCCCGTGAGATGAGAGGCTGCCATTGGTGCCTCTAGCTGCACAGCCGTGTGTAACGTACCAACCAGGGTGTTTACTGGTTCCAGCGTAGATCTACTCCCCCTCAGCGGGAACTGTTTGTCCCTGGTAACTCTGTGTGGGCTCTGGTTCGTCAACATGTTTGGTATATTTAGGACCTTTGGATTCATTTGATGATTTCAGACTAACACGCTCAGATTCAATGCCGTCGCTCTTCAGGTAAAAATGAAAGCCTATATTGAGTTCTGGGATGTCGTAAATAACCGCAACTAGCAGCATCATCATTATAAGTCCAAGGAGGAGGTACCCTGAAACAGCAACACGTGCAGTGTAACATTGACAGTGTGTGTCAATTTCCAGTGGCTTCAGTAACATCAAACTACGGTTATAACGAACTCAAAGGGCCACTAATTTTAGTTCGTCATAACCGTAGTTCGTTATTAGCATACATACAGGATAAACACAGCAAATGCCCGGGAACAAAAAACAGAACGTTATATCCGCCAGTTCGTTATAAGCGTTCTCGTTATAAACGTAGTTTACTGTATATAAGGTGTACCTACCTGTGGTGGCAACTTTGTACAGCGCCCTGTAGTGTTGTTGCCAGTTGTCGCCGGGGATGTAGTCGCCCAGACCGACGGTAGTGAGGGAGATGAAGCAGTAGTAGAAGGCGTCCAGGTAGTTCCAGTCGGGTTCAAGTGCAGTGTAAATACCAGCGGGGATGAGGAAGAAAAACGTGAAGATGAAGGAGAAGACGATGAAGAGGTGGAGGAGCTGGATGTGGAAGACCTTGTAGATGTGCCCCAGCTGCCGGAACAGGAAGTACAGGAACATCTTGGTGGGGAGCATGAGCCGCTCCACCACAGCCGTGAACAGAATGAGTGTCAGGGGAATGCCTATCACAGCGTACACGATACAGAACGCCTTGCCGGCGTCAGAGAGTGGAGTCACTCGACCGTAACCTACAATAGAATACTCATCAGTAACTTATTTGGCAATAAAATTGTATTGTAAGAATCCTTCAAGATGTCACTTGTAGAAATTCAACAGAATGGCAATATATATGTTCAGCTGGCATGAACTGCAAGACAGTTGAAATACCAGTAATCTCCTGGAAACAGCAGATATACTCAGCCAGTAACTGTAGGGTCATCATCGGCACACAGTTGAGATACTCAACCAGCAATTATGAGATCAACATCTAAACACAGTTGAGATACTCAACCAGTAATTATAGGGTAATTACCGTATTTAATATTTTGGCAAGGTGACAATCCCAATTTGCACCCCTTCCGATTGATTAATGTACCCAAGACTGTATAATACGCACTCGCATTTTATATGCACCCATAAATATATATTATGGGCAATTAAATTATGGAAAAATACATCTGTCGTATATAAACATTTCAGGATGTCAGCATAAACCACGAAATGTACGATCTTTCACCAAAATAATTTTCTAATGAGAGCCCCAATTTCTAATTTTGAGAGCGCCCTGGGCGTTTATTACGTCGAATACGGTATATCATATTTTTCTCAACTCTGAGGTAATAACAATTAGCAACACGTCGCTTGTCTGAGTAAAGCACAATCCTTTTAGCACATTGTCTCCAAAGCACTTGAGAGGAGTCAAGTCTTACCTATGGTCGTGAGCACAGTCCCAGCAAAGAACATTGATTGGCCGAAACTCCAGTTGGGTTCAGACATGGACACATTGCGAGCTGCCGAGACTCCCCTGTTAGCAGCCTCAACGACCTCAACAATGAAGGCCTCTAGAGCTTGCTCTGAAACAACAATACAGACAAGTGCTGAAGAACCTTGACGTCACTGTCGCCGTCAACAAAGGCGGGTGATGTTTGTGCGGGGGATGGTGCCACCACCACAACCACCTTTTGACATTTTTTTTACATTTTAAGTTATCAAGTTACTCGCTGAAGCGGGAGATATTGTTGTTCAAAGGGATAAAGCGACGTATGTGGTGAAACAGTTCAGAGTATGTCAAGTGTTTTCGTTTAGGACGTAAAACGAGTGCTAGGTATATATATATTCAACTACATGGGAAATGGCAATATGTACCTGGCATTCATACTCGATTCTAAGTTAGACGATCTTTTTGGCGTCTGCATCACTGTGTTGCGAATATTCATCGCCTTTATTACGATAAGTTCAGCAGGATGTAGACTCGATCATGTCTGTTGTTTGTAGGGAACCTATTTAATGTTGTGTTATCTTATTTTGTATGACCTTTGTTCAAAGCTCAATGTATGCAGTCAAACCATACATTTCAATCACGTGTACAACTAAGTTCAATATCGATGACATGCATGAACCAAGTCAGCGAGCCTGACCACCCGATCCCGTTACGACAAGCATAGTCGCCTTTTATGGAAAGCATGGGTTGCTGAAGACCTATTCTACCCCGGATCTTCACGGGCCAGAGAGACAGATGAGAACTACTTGCTGGAAAGTCATTGTCAGAAGCATCTAATATCCCTGATGCTAAAGATGAGGTACAACGTCGCGTTCAGTATGGTTGCTAGATATATGGCGACGTGCTCAAAGGTCATATCAGGGTGCTATGGTGAGACAAGTGGTGTTGGAGGTGTGGTAGGCTTGCTTAGGGTTAGGTGAATGATGTTTAGGGTGAGGTAAGTGGTGTGTATGGGAAGGTAGGTGGTGCTGGGTGTGAGGTAAGTGGTGTGTATGGGAAGGTGGGTGGTGCTGGGGTTGAGGTAAGTGGTGTGTATGGGAAGGTAGGTGGTGCTGGGGTTGAGGTAAGTGTTGTGTATGGGAAGGTAGGTGGTGCTGGGGGTGAGGTAAGTGGTGTGTATGGGAAGGTAGGTGGTGCTGGGGGTGAGGTAAGTGGTGTGTATGGGAAGGTAGGTGGTGCTGGGGGTGAGGTAAGTGGTGTGTATGGGAAGGTAGGTGGTGCTGGGGTTGAGGTAAGTGGTGTGTATTGGAAGGTAGGTGGTGGTGGGGCTGAGGTAAGTGGTGTTTTTGATGAGGTAGGTGGTGCTGGGGGTGAGGTAAGTGTTGTGTATTGGAAGGTAGGTGGTGCTGGGGGTGAGGTAAGTGGTGTTTTTGATGAGGTAGGTGGTGCTGGGGGTGAGGTAAGTGGTGTGTATGGGAAGGTAGGTGGTGCTGGGGGTGAGGTAAGTGGTGAGTATGGGAAGGTAGGTGGTGCTGGGGTTGAGGTAAGTGGTGTGTATGGGAAGGTAGGTGGTGCTGGGGGTGAGGTAAGTGGTGTGTATGGGAAGGTAGGTGGTGCTGGGGGTGAGGTAAGTGGTGTGTATGGGAAGGTAGGTGGTGCTTGGGGTGAGGTAAGTGGTGTGTATGGGAAGGTAGGTGGTGCTGGGGTTGAGGTAAGTGGTGTGTATGGGAAGGTAGGTGGTGCTAGGGGTGAGGTAAGTGTTGTGTATGGGAAGGTAGGTGGTGCTTGGGTTTGACGTAAGTGGTGTGTATGGGAAGGTAGGTGGTGTTGGGTGTGTAGTAGGTTATGCTTGGTGAGAGGTAGTTGGTATTGGGTGTCGGGTAAGTGGTGTTGGGTGTGGGGGTGGTAGGTGATGCTGGGTTAGGGATAGGTGGGTTGGGTGGGAAGTAGGTGGTGTTGGGCGTGTGGGGGGCCGGTGCTTGGTGTGTAGTAGGTGACGCTGGGTGGGGGATAGGTGGTGTTTGGTGTGATGTATTTGTTGCTGGGGGTGAGGTTGGTTCCGTTCGAGGGAAGAAGGTGATACCGTTATGGATACCGAAAAGGACATTAAACTACATAAACTACAGAAAAATATGTCGAGCTCACTTCCTATTTATCATGTTTTTTCTAAAACAATTTTCAACAAATCGCGAAAAAAACACCGTCAGTTGACTCACGGTCATTCAACTCAGTTGTGACCTTTCAAGCCAGAAATCAGTTGCCCTTTGGTTACATGAACGTCAGCTAATACTAGTTGTCTAACAGAGTAAATTGTCAATTAACACATTTTGTTATAATTGCGTATACATATGATTTGTTTGTTTGTTGACGCCGCGCTCAGCAGTATTCCAGCTATATGACGGCGGTCTGTAAATAATTGAATCTCGACCAGACAATCCAGTGATTGATATCATAAGCATCGATGCACGTTATTATAATACGATGACATGTATCAACCAAGTCAGCGAGCCTGACCACCCAATCCCGTTAGTCGCCTCTTACGACAAGTATGGGTTGCTGAAGACCTATTCTAACCCGGATCTTCAAGGGGCGTATAAGTATGGTGACGAGTTGCATTCAAAATGTCTTCCATAGTCTCCAACCTGAACAAAATCGGTGGCAGAAGTCACACGGGATACAAAAACCGACACTATTATGGCTATTGGACTGTTTCCTTCTCTACCGCATGCACCTTTCGTAAGGATAACATGGTGACATGCATCTAATGTGGGCGCATCGACCTATGTAAGGAAACAGTTGCACAAATACAGCTGAATTTTCAATAAGCATATGTTGTTCTATACACTACCGATTACAAAGCCAGGCCGTTACAACACAGATGTCAGCGAACGGCTACAACAAATCAATTGATTTCATCTGTGCGAGTTAATTCAGGGTCTCCTCTCACTGTAATGCTACAGTCACTAACCGTGAGTAATCAAAATATAAATTGTCAATGCAAGAGAATAACCAGCCTTAGATTTTCTGCAGAAACAGATTCCACTTGGTGTAAAGGGAAAAAAATGTGGAAATTATACGAATGAACCACTGAAAATCAGTGATGAAACCAGGTGTTCGCGAAAAGGGTAAGCATGTCCTAAGCTGAGGGTTAGCCTTCCTTCTTTCGTCTCTAGGAGAAAGCTTATAATAGCCACGGAGTCATATACACTTACCGACGAAAAACGATACATGTTGGTTAATATATAAAGATATACTCATATTCTAGATATATTAGATTAGTTCGACGAACTAACGAACATACTGGTTTTTCGCGAAAAGGGTTAACATGTCCTTCCCTCCCGGTAGCACCCGCCATTAATACAATTTGCATAAAAAACGTAGGTATTTATTGCCTGACGCAGCACAACAGTAATCCTGCCATGCGTCGTCAGCCTGTAAACAAACCAGGAAATCAAGTGATCTATGTCACAGAAAATCCTGTGACCCGAGAGTACCGTTACTGATTTTGTTGGAACCAATACAAACGGTACGTTAATTTTGAATTACGTCTGTTGTGTACAAGACCTGAGAGTTTGCTGCTTATAAGTAAAGGAAAGCGCTAAGAAATTTATTCTTTATTTAAAGTCTCGGTTGATTTGTTTGTCTTAACGACAGAAGCTGTTTCAGTTTGGACATGGTCCCACGAGGTTCATATTTGCCTTGCAACCAGTCCTGCTTGCACCCATCCACATAGTCAGTCCTGCTTGCACCCGCCCACATAGTCAGTCCTGCTTGCACCCACCCACATAGTCAGTCCTGCTTGCACCCACCCACATAGTCAGTCCTGCTTGCACCCACCAACATAGTCAGTCCTGCTTGCACCCACCCACATAGTCAGTCCTGCTTGCACCCACCAACATAGTCAGTCCTGCTTGCACCCATCCACATAGTCAGTCCTGCTTGCAACCACCCACATAGTCAGTCCTGCTTGCAACCACCAACATAGTCAGTCCTGCTTGCAACCACCCACATAGTCAGTCCTGCTTGCACCCACCCACATAGTCAGTCCTGCTTGCACCCACCAACATAGTCAGTCCTGCCTGCACACACCAACATAGTCAGTCCTGCTTGCAACCACCCACATAGTCAGTCCTGCTTGCAACCACCAACATAGTCAGTCCTGCTTGCAACCACCGACATAGTCAGTCATGCTTGCAACCAACCACATAGTCAGTCCTGCTTGCAACGAACCACATAGTCAGTCCTGCTTGCAACCAACCAACATAGTCAGTCCTGCACCCACCCACATAGTCAGTCCTTCTAGCAACCACCGACATAGTCAGTCTTGCTTGCAACCACCCACATAGTCAGTCCTGCTTGCACCTACCAACATAGTCAGTCCTGCTTGCAACCACCTACATAGTCAGTCTTGCTTGCAACCACCCACATAGTCAGTCCTGCTTGCAACCACCAACATAGTCAGTCCTGCTTGCACCCACCAACATAGTCAGTCCTGCTTGCACCCACCAACATAGTCAGTCCTGCTTGCAACCACCAACATAGTCAGTCCTGCTTGCACCTACCAACATAGTCAGTCCTGCTTGCACCCACCAACATAGTCAGTCCTGCTTGCACCCACCAACATAGTCAGTCCTGCTTGCAACCACCAACATAGTCAGTCCTGCTTGCACCCACCAACATAGTCAGTCCTGCTTGCAACCACCCACATAGTCAGTCCTGCTTGCACCCACCAACATAGTCAGTCCTGCTTGCAACCACCGACATAGTCAGTCCTGCTTGCAACCACCAACATAGTCAGTCCTGCTTGCAACCACCAACATAGTCAGTCCTGCTTGCACCCAGCAACATAGTCAGTCCTGCTTGCAACCACCTACATAGTCAGTCCTGCTTGCAACCACCCACATAGTCAGTCCTGCTTGCACCCACCAACATAGTCAGTCCTGCTTGCAACCACCATCATAGTCAGTCCTGCTTGCAACCACCCACATAGTCAGTCCTGCTTGCACCCACCAACATAGTCAGTCCTGCTTGCACCCACCAACATAGTCAGTCCTGCTTGCAACCACCAACATAGTCAGTCCTGCCTGCAGCCACCGACATAGTCAGTCCTGCTTGCAACCACCAACATAGTCA